CAACAACAAGAACATAAATACAAAATAGAAACAGACTCATAGACATAGAATACAAACTTGTGGTTGCCAGAGGGGAGGGGGGTGGGAAGGGACAAATTGGGAGTTCAAAATTTGTAGATACTGACAGGCATATGTCGAATAGATAGAAAAGATTATACTGCATAGCATAGGGAAATATATACAAGACTTTGTGGTAGCTCACAGAGAAAAAGAATGTGACAATGAATGTATGTATGTTCATACATAACTGAAAAATTGTGCTCTACTCTGGAAATTGACACAACATTGTAAACTGACTATAACTTAATAAAACAAGAACTATAAAAAAAAAAAGCAGGGTCATCAGAATAAATGTGGCCACTGACATAAGTTTCCAGGGTCGGGCAGGGTGTCCTGGGGGAAATGGGGCTGAGCCCCCATCACAGTCAGCCTCCTTTCGTAACCCAGGACCCCACATACGCCCCCTGCCCCTGTAGGCTGGAGAGGGACTTGGCCCCAGTGGAGGGCTGGGAGAATCCTCAGGGCTTGTTCAGCACATGGCTGCCTTTAGTGATAGGACAAGAGAACTGTATTTTCATGGCCATTAAGAGTTCCAAGGCTGGGTACCTGAGGAGCACTACGGAAAGGACCTCTTGTTTTGAGCGAAACACAAATGAATGGCTGCTGTGTATAACTGAGTCATTTGGGAGGTGGATGGAGCCTAAACCGAGAACCCTGAGAGCAGGCGGCCTTGTCCTCGGACCCCTGCCTGCCGAGCAGCAAGGCACAGGGTTGGGGGCGTCTCTCTCCCTAAACAGACTTCCCATCGTTCAACGCACAGCTTCATCCTCCTCCCACCGGAAGCCTCTTCTGACCAGACCAGCCCTTGCTATCCAGAATCTGGATGTGGTCCTGAGTCCCTCACCCTTTCTCTGCTGCACCTCCCTCTCCTCCTAGGCTTTCAGAATGTCTCAATTCATTGTTACTGATTTGCCACAGATGCAAAATAACGGTTGGAACAGCAGCAATGATTTGTGAATTTCGATTCCTCTTCTAAAACCACTCGTAGATATTTCTGCTGCCTTCCTCCCCTCCCCCTCTTCCTCCCTCCCTGCCCCGACACACAGGAATTATGAGACAGTAACTTACATCCCCCCCTTTATATCTCCTGCTCCACTTGTGGTTATCAGGATGGTTACTACAGAGAGTAAGCCTGGCCCTGACCTCCCTCCCAGCCCCCAGGCCCCACGAGCACCGTCAGATATGGGGCTTGTCATCCTGGAGACAAGGACAAAGAAAGATAAGCTCAAAACACTGAGCCCTTGCTGTAGGTCAAGCATTGTACTAGTGTCGCACATGCATCAGCCTGTTTCATCCTTCCGAACACCCTAGGAGACAGGCATTCCTGCTTTACAGATGGCAGAAACTGAGGCTATAGGAGAGGTAGTAAGTAGTAGAGCTGGGATCCAGACTTTGGCTGTCTGACTCCAAAGTCTAGGCTTTTCTTTGCTCTAAATCCCTGCACTGAAACTTCTCTTTTGTCTGTGGAATTCTAGGAAGTGTTGGTTCTGTTTCTCATCAGTGGGGCCTCCTGCTCCCCATGGAGCAGGGTCTCTGGGCATTTGCACATCATCCCTAGAGGGGAACCTTGGGTGTGCAGAGCCTCGTCTCAGGGTCCAGAATGTCCAGAACCAGCTGGAATCAGAGGCCTCCTGGCCCCTTTCCCTGCCACATGGAAATGTCATTTGTAGTCAGCCTGCTGTAGCTGGAGAGCTGCCTTTTAGGTGCAGTGAGTCAAAGGCCCACATGGAAACACTTTAGCTTGAGCCGGCACTGGAGAAGCCCTGGCTCGTAGCCATGAATGGCGGCAGGTCCAATAATGCTGAGCTCCAGGAATACATGTTGCCAAGAAGCCAGAGGGGTTTGGAGACTGACCAGTTCCTCCAGCTCACGCCAAGGCCCTGCTCAGAAATGTAGCTTCTTGTTCTCTGTAAGAGAAGGGCTGTGGTCCTTTGGGTTGAGTGTCTTGGTGATGAGATGCTCTGTGTGATGGCCATTTTTGGGGAGGGATGGTTCTAAATCAGAGGACCATGGGCCTCTGCAGTTATATGAAGGTTTATGCATGTTCCTGTGTTCAAAGAAGAGCCACAGATGTCTCTGCATTTTCAGAGGCATCCAAGACCAACGAAAGGACAAAGACTATACTATCTGGGAGACTGTAGCAGGAACCAGGGGAACACACCAGTCAGCATGCCCCAACATACAAGTCTACCCCTGGGACTGCTGGCGCGGGGAGATGTGTCAAGCTGGTGCAGGTATGTGAGGATGGGGAATCAGTACCCAGGTCAGGTGGGATCTCTGTGCAGAATGGAGCTCCTCCTGACTCCCTTCCCCCTGACCACACAGGCTGCAGAGAGCATGCCTCGCCCCACCAGGCCTTTGGGGAAGATGGCCTCCCCCCACCATCGTCTGTGAACCTCATCTCCAAGCTTAGAGCTTCCTCCCCAGGTGGGGTTGCCCCCTCTCTGAGCTCCAATTTCCCCATCAGCCTGGAGCCGTATATCTTCTCCTCCTTTCTCCTGGCTGCTTTATAGCTTGCTGGAAACACCTTCCCTTAGCACTTCGAAATGTATCACTTGAAAGCATCTTAAAGTTAACCAATGTGATTCTTTTTTAATTTGAAGGGGCTTATTTCTCCGAATGGCTTTCCTGATCATATAGGAGGGCATGCTCCCTAATATTAAACTTTTTCTTTATAAAGAGCAAAAAATGACTCACATCTGTTTGATATTTAATTCAAATTGAATGGCAGGACAGGAACAAAATTACACTGCAAAAGGCCATAAAGAGTGATGTTTAAAGGAGCCAAGCATACCAAACCTACATGTCAGAAAATTTGAAATGACACAGTTTTGAAGGGACATGGCCTGGGCAATGGGTTGTCTCCTACCCAAAAGCCAGAGGGATAGTAGCCAAGCTGGGAGAAGGTGAGAGATGGGAGAAGGGCTTACTTTGCACTGGGGGATTTCTTAGGGACTGGTTTCCAGCTACATGTGAGTTTGGAGTCTGGGATCCAAGCCTCAAGCCGTGTTCCTGATGCCAGTTGCTCTGGTTAGGGAGTGGCCTGTCTGGGGCCTCCCAAGGAGCTGCTGGGTAATGCACACACAGCCTGGGTGGCCAACCGGGCACTGCCCTGCTGTCTGTGTCCAGCAGGCCTTGGGGTTTGGCTACGGCTCAGAGACTGAGTTGAAAGCCCCTCTGCTCCCTGCTGATCCATATACCAGAGACTCCAATATCCTGTGTCCAAGAGGGCAGAGAAATGGGGCGGGCCCAGAGAGCTGTGTACTCCTTTTTCTAAAGGCCGGGCAATCTGTCACTGCCCTAGCACTCTGAGAGAGTTCCTAGGAGACAAGTGAGTGTGGTGTCTTACTTAACATCCCCGTTGCATGTTTTAAGCCAGAGGACTGGCTCCAGGACCCGAGCACAAGCACTGCAATTGTAAACTTGTCTGGTGACATCTGCTAGAGCTGCTAGATGGGCCGTGACAGTGTGGCTTTGCAACCCAAGCTTGACCAGAACCAAGCAGCTGCCCCTGCCCAAGTGTGCATGGATGGTGGGGGTGAGGAGACCAAGGATCTAGAATAAATCAGGTGCTGGGTCCCCCACTGACCAGCTGAGGGAGTCTGGGCATGTGACCCCTCTCTGAAACACAGTTTCTTTATCTGTTGCATGGGATGGTTTAACGTCTTCATAAAGTTATTTTGAATGGCTAACATTATAAATCTAAACACACACGCACTTTGAAATAGCAAAGCATTATATAAATTTCTTAGGATGGTTACTCTGAGCCCTCTAGGGCTTCTGTGTAGTAGCATCTTTATTTCCAAGACATTTTCACATTGGTTATTTTGTTTCTCTGGCCCACTGTTGAGCACAAGGGGCAGGTACTTTCTCCATACAATGGTGTGCTGGAGCGGTCTCTCGTACTGTCTTATGAGAGCTGATTGTTAAACAAGCTGTTATTAAAAATTAAATTGTATGAACTCACAGTTAAACTATGTTAAATACAAAACTGATCAATAATCAAAACTCACTGCTTCCTAATGACTTTGCTGTACTTTTCTATATCTGTGCTCTTGTAAATTGCATCTGGGAATGCTGTGCAGTATTGGGCTCACTGTGCATCTGTTTCCAAATCCAAGTTCAGTGATGTCCTCTTGATAATCTTGAAATTGACCACAGTTGGAGAACTTATACCACGGAAATGAGAGCTCGGTCAGTGCCACAACCAGATCTCATGCATTGCCCAGGTTGTTAAACATTTACCAGCACAGCCCTGATTGTTGAGTCATGCAAGTGAGGCATGTGAAGTTTTGGTGACTTTCTCAGAGTCTCATATTCACGGTGAATATCTTCCTCTCAACGCGTTGCTTTCTCCATCAGACTTAGCTGTTCAGCATCCCCAGGCCCTCGTGTCCAGGGCATATGGCATTTCATTATCCAGAACACTCTGGCCTCCTCTCAAATGCCCCCTGCCATTCCTCTAATGAGAGCTCCTTGGCTTCTGTTTTTCCCCTGAGCTGAGCCAAAACATTCCCTCTGGTTGGTAAAGCATGCTAAGAATCTCAAGTAGAGGTATTTTCTCTTTCTTTAACTGAGGAGCAAAACTCACAGCTCATCATCACCCTGTGATCTTCTAGCCGACACTTTACCTGGGGTGCTTGATGAAGCCCAGAGGCAGGCGTGTGCATGTGAGTGCGTGTGTGTGCATGCGCCTGCGTGTGTGTGCCGGGGAAGTGGAAGTCAGACCACATGAGGCTTTCCTGATGTTTCAGCTTGAAATCTGCACAGCAACCGCAGGCCTAGGGGAAGAGAAATGTAAAACTGAAAGACGGAGCCCCCTGATGATTAGCTTCCCTCTTTGGCCTCCAGCGAGTGCCACAGGGGACCACGTGCTCCTCAGAAATGAGGCCCAGCACTGGTTCTGGAAGCCTCCGATGTCAGGCGTCCAGCCTGCCTGCTTCCAGGGTTCCCAGGCCGAAGCTCCAGTGTGGGAGCCCTGCACCTTGTGCACATGTTTCCAAGAGGTGAAGGGCTGGTGGTTGTGTTGCACCACGGACTCAGGTCTCATCTAGAAACAGGAAAACCTGCTAGCAGAGTGCCGAGGAGTCAGAGGTATGGGCCCTGCATGGCCCTGCTGGGATTTGTCCTTGGCTCTGGGGCTCTGAGTCCTATAGATACATGAATCCATTCACTGAGCAAACCACTCACGCTGGCCTCTTCTCATTCCAATTAATTGTTTAAAGTGCATGTTAACCTCTTAACCAGCATCATCGTTGGGGTTTAATGTACTTCTCAAAGCCTCATTCCCTAAAGGCCTGCTCTCACCCTATCCAAATTCTTTCTCCCTGTCAATAGACACTTAATTGAGGACCTACTGGGTGCCAGGTGGTTGCTCAATCTGCAGACAGTTTCTGCCACCCCCAGGGCTCTGCAGGAGGGGAGGTGCCAGCATGGTGCAGAGCACACAGGAAGCACATGTATGCCTAGCTGAGGAAATACTTTTTGTTTCATGAACCAAGCCTGAAAATCCCCTCTGAGTATCCCGACACTGGCTTAGAGCTAGAAGAAAGCCAGCTCCTTTGTGGAAAAAAGTCAAGGAAGCTTTTTGGAGGGAGGAATATTTGGGGATGGGTGGCGTCTCATGTTAAATAATAAATGGCTGGCATTTATTTAGCATTTCCAAGGTAGGTGCTGAGTTCCCATATGTGCTGTGTGTTTCAATCTTCACAGCAGAGAGGGAAATACTAATAGTATCCCCACTTTAGGGATATGCATGAAGAAAAGCAACTTGGGAGATAAAGGAAGTTTCAGGGCAGTGGGGATTTGGACCTGGCTCTGCTGAACCTGCCTCTCAGGTGGGAGGGAAGGAGGGGTTTCAAAGCAGACCTCCCGGCAGGATTGTGTGGGCCAGGCCAGCGCGCCTTCTCTGCACCTCACAGTCCTGCCCTTGTCCTCTCTTGCCCTCCTTCCTTTCTTACAGATGCCAAAGGTCACGTGGGTTGGGGTGACAGTGGTGGAGGGGGGCTTGTGTTTGCCTACTAGGCAGTGGAGCCCTCTGAGCTGTGCACCTATTGCCTCTCCATTTTTGGTGGCCTCCCTAGGGCTTCAGGCTGGGGCTGAGGGCACTGAGGTGGGTGCACTCCCTGTGCTGGCTTTGACCGTGTGCACTCGGAGCCCTCGCTCCCCCTTCCCTTCTCTGCCCTGTACTGAAGGGGAGGGGACTGGGCAGGCTGCATTTCCCAGGCTGCTCATCAGCGTCTTTGGCTGACTTCAGCCAATGGGAGCCACTAGGGGCCGGGAAAGGGGAGAAGCCGGGATGTTTCACCCTCTCTCTTAACCCCTTGGGGAGAGTCTCTGGTGGCCACTGCCTCTCCTCTACATCTCCAACTCCCCCTGGAAGGCCTCTGCCGCCACAGCCCCAGCTTCCGTGGGGCGTTCCGGCTCTTTGCCACACAGCACACACTCTGGTAACATGGTCTCTCTCCTGCGGGTGACCTGCGCCCCAGGGGCGGGAGCTGGCAGTGCTAGTCCTTCCTGTTCTGGCTGATCTCTGAATTGCATGACCTGCATGGCTTTTCAGTCACCTGTATACCCAATTCCCAGAAATAAATATTTGAAATATTTAGAGTGGTTCTGCTTTCCTGACTGGATCCTGACTGATGCACTTCCTGCCACCCCCAGCCCACCTCCCCCACAAGCAAGGGGAGGTAATAGGGTCCATCTCCTGAGCCCATCTGCAGCAAGCTGCAAACGAATGGAGGAGTGATATCACGGTATCTAGATCCCTCAGAGAAGCAGCTATAGAAACCCCGTGGCTGACTGCCTGGCTGAGCTCTCCCTCCCAAGGCCCCTGTCTCAGCCATATTCTGAAGGTTCCCCACCCCCTACCCCCTGGCTCTGCATCTTTAAAGGAAAGCGAGGCAGACATCCCAGCTGGGGCTCCCTCCAGCAGTTATTGTGCTTGGCTCGGAGCCTGGGGCATCCTTGGCTTTGCCCTGTACCTGCTCTGTGTAAGCCCTGTGTTAGGTAATGCAGAGAGGATCAGAGAAATAACAAAGGAGGAAAGAAAGTTCCCCCAGAACCCAGCCCCATGGTTTCTCCCTCCTTCCTGGACTGTGATTTGATTTTGATCCAAATCTGCCCTTTCTCAGCCTCCTTCCTGGTTGTTCCCAAATGTCTTGGAGCTGGGCACCATGGTGCTAGTGCCCCTTAAGGAAGTGGGTATCATGGGGAAATAGAGGCAGAGAACGTAACAGCCCAGAGGTGCTGGCATCACTGCAGGGGTGCACATTTTTGTGGCGCGAGCTCCCTTGCCAAATGGCAGTATAAAGCCCTTTCAACTCACGTGCCTAAAGAAGAAAATAATTAAACTCTTCTGTCGGGGATCACCTGGCTCCCCATATCCACTCACTTAGGATGTTTTGTTCCCACTGGAGCGTATGATTGGAAAACAAAGGTAAATGAGAGCAATTTATTCCCGGATCATTTTTTCCCCCAGCAGGATTAAAGCTGCCTCAGCCATAAAGAGTTTACAAACTCTAAAGAAAGATAATAACTTCCCTTCTCACGGCCCCGGTCACGGGGAGGTAATGTATGTTTCCAATCAGCTGAGAATGTAACTCAAATGGTAGATTTTATTTCACTTTAATCCGCCTGCGAGTTCACTTTCAAGGTAAGAGGGACCTCAGCCTGCAATGTGAATAGAGT